GACTCAAGCAGCAGATCTCCGACGTGTTGCGGGACCAAAAAGTATGTTTATAATGCCCCCAGTTCTTTAGCCAATGCACATTTTCTTAGTACCTCACAATGGAGGTACTAGATTTAATACACATTAACTAAAGTGTGTTAACAAATGTGTAGATGTCCCCCCTGGGTATTTAGTGGCTTTGTTGTACCAGAAGGGAGGAGAGAATTTCTGTAGATAACTTCTTAATGGAGGCTGATTTCAGTGAAAGGAACAAAGGAGCAATTTATAAATTGTGCCCAAGGGAGACAGTCTCCTGCTGGTTTTATCATACCAGTGAAAGGTTATGTTTAATGAGTCTAGAGGCTTCCAAACCTTACTGCTGATAGTACAGCTTGTATATTCTATAAACTCAATACTTTTAGTTCAATGTTCTTAGAAAGTGTAGTAATGAATTCAGTGGACCTTTGTGAATCTTACAGTTTTAACTGTTCTGTATTTTCTCCCATTGAGAAAAATTCCACAAGAAATGAAAAAACAGAAACAAGCATTAATGTAGATAGCCAGGTTACAGAACTAAATCAGAAAACAAGTTAAGGAATAATAACAATATCTCACTCATTCTGCACAGATTGTATTGACTATTCCTCTGTTGCATTTTAAAGGTGCAAATTAATATAAAGTTTCTATTGTTTATAACAGTATGTGTTGTGACCCAAATAATGCTATCTTACTCCAAGAGCCTTAATTTTTCCCATTTCCTAAAGTTTAAGAATTTCAATCCATAACAGTTACATAAAGCAAATAATGAACATCTTTAGGAAGAGGGCTCTTCATGATTTGAGACATCTGTGGTTTAGCTCGTGACATCTCCCATTCCCTCAGACATCCCACGTCTCTTGCTCATCTTGTCTCTTGATGCTAGTTTACATTCCCCTCCACTCCTGGCCTCCAGCCAGTTAAGTTTTTAAATGTGAATCCACGCACAAGACAAATTCTTCAGTGCATAGAGGGAGCAGCTGCTGAATAGGGCCTGACCTTGTTTATGCTTTCAAAAAGATTTTCTCCTGTTTGTTTAGTGCCTTGCTATTATCAGCCACCAAAGTTTTAGCTCCTTGTTACCAGTTTAACTCTCTGCCTGCCTTGCCCTGTGCAGAATACATCCTGCACATTCCAATTGTTTCATCATGACTTTTTTATAGGGGAAGCAGGGGGAAATTTTACTTTTATTTACAGTAAATCTACTACTACACTAGATTCATTAGGACAAAAAGTTGTATCAGTAAATATTATCAGAAATTATCAGGACTGCCCACCTTGCATAAGTTGGTTCAAAGATTTATTATACAACAAAGAGGAAAGTTGAAACTTTGGGCCTTTGGACAATAAAAATGGAGACAGGTACAGTCAGGATGCATGATATTTTACATCTTCTGCTAAGTTCTATGAAGGATACACTCAGGAGCATACCTAACCTTTTAAAAGTTAGGTTGTTGGGACCCATCATTACCCAATGCAACGAATACCCAGTAGCCTACATTTTTTAGTTTTTCCAGCAAATTCAGCGTTGAAGAAATAAACAATCTAATAATCTTAGCCATGACTACAGTATTACACTGGTTTGCATGTAATTTTAGTAAAAGGTCATTTCTACCCTGTAATATACAAATGACCCCTCACCTTGGACCCTTGCCCCTCACACTGAAAGGACGAGCCTTAGCCTCTTGGATTAATGATTTGATCCAAAGCTCATCAGACTCACTTAATAACTCTAAGTATTTGCTTAAGGGCATTGCTGAATCAGGGCTTTATAGAAATGGTATAAGTTTTACCTTAATATGTACACATTCTAGTTCTATTTTCCCCCCTTATTCTGAGATGCATAGCCTTGGAAGCAGAAAAAGTAAAAATAGCTATCAATATAAAACTGTTACATTTCTGAAAAATGCATACAACCACTATTATACAAAAACTTGGTATAAATGAAATACTGACCTACTTTGGTTAGGAAGAGAGACTTTTACCCTACAAACATTTTAAAGAAAAATCAACAAAAATGAGGTCTGGTTAAAAAAGCAAAAGTAATTCTTCAACATCTGCCTCTACAGCATTTTTTTAAAAAGAGTTTCTTTAAATGAAAAGTCTCAATCTAGTGAAAATGACAATTTCTATTAAAAATGCATCCAGGAGGAGAATTTTCAATCACTTCTAATGACGAATGGCCACATGGGGCACCTATACGTGTACTGGACATCTGTTTTGACATGTACTAATTAGTACATGTTGGAGCAGACTTGATTGATCGAGTCTGCCAGAACATGTTAATTAACATGCTCCAGCAGCCTCTGTGCCATATCTATTCAGTGTCCCTGCACTTCAAAATGGCGGTGGGGGTGCTTGAACTAAAGCTAGAATTAGTTTTAGTTCAAGCACTCCCTCCACCATTTTGAAGTGCAGGATGCTGAATACACATGATGCTGGGGGCACTTTAATTAGAGCCACTCTAATTAAAGTGCCCCCCCCCACACACACTCCACCCCCAGAGCTCATGTGTAGATGCCCATGAAGGCTTACTAGTGCTTGTTTAAAATTAAATGGTTTTGACCCATACATGACGTGATTCAAGCCAATGAAAACCTTTCTGCCACCACTCATTGTCCTGTGATCTATTAGATTATATGACTATCACTTGAAGCTATTTCAGACACAGCTAAAATAACCCTCCTCACTTTGTAACTAGGTGTCCCATCATGCAGGCCAAAAAGTCAGCAGAATTCCAAAAAGACTAGAAGATTATAGGTATAATAAGAATATCCATAAGGTAGGGTAGGGTACTAAACTTATAGACCATCTTGCTCAGAGATATGAACTTTCAAACACTTCATTAGATGCATCTGAGCCTATGAAAGCTCAGTCCTCACCCTCGCCACCCTCCCGCCCCTTCCTCAACTACTACTTAATTTATAGGAGCTGCCCTGCCTTCTGCCTAACTTCAGACTAGCACAGCTAACTACCTCTCAAAAAACATTCCTGGCTATGGTAACAAGGGCTGCTTGTAGACATTAAAAAAAACCCCAAATGACATTTTACTTCTAATTCTGCATGCCCCTGCACCAAGTCCAGCACATGCCCAGAAGAGGCAGCCCGTTAGTTAGACCCAGCTCGCCCAATGTCTGTATATATCAAGAGCTTTAGTGGGGCTTTAATCTAATAGCTGATTGAATCAGCTATTAGATAAAAGTGCCCTAAGGCCTCGCTGAAGCGCTCAAGCTATACAGATGCTGTGGAGCTGGGCTAAACTAATGCACTGCTTCATCCAGTAAAGTGTGGGGTTTTTTGTTTTGTTAGCATCTGCAAGTAGCCAAGGTTATTAAGGTTAATATCTGCAAGCAGCCAAGGGTATTAAACCTTTTAACGGGATAAAACGGATAGTGATATAATTATCCTGTATGTGTTCCTCAACACAAAGATACCTTAATTCTGCTCAAAAGAAATCAACATGCCGCTGCAGCTACTAATCCAGACTAACTAGTAGAGCTGCCAGAGGAGGTGTGCATAACAGCTATCACCCCGGGCTGGGTGCCTGTAGATGTGTGGGGGGCTGCTCAGACACACTGTAATAACTGTCAGAGCAGACTCAGTTTATCAAGTCTGCTGAGGCATGCTAATTAGCACACCTCCAGCAGTTTGCACATCTCATGCATCAGCATCCCCACACTTCAGAATGGTGGAAGGAGTACTTATCTAAAGCCTGGTCAATGAGTTTTAGTTAAAGCACCCCTGTTGCCATTTTGAACCATGGGTATATGCTGATTCACAAGATGCTTGGGTAGACCAGAACCAGATGAAGTTCAACACTGAGAAATGTAAAGTGCTCCACCTGGGGACAAACAATCCCCTGCACACCTACAGGCTTGGCAATGCCAACCTAACCAGCACTACAACTGAAAGGGACCTAGGGATAATAACAGAGCACAGTATGAACTTTAGCAGACAGTGTGACACTGTAGCCAGCAGGACTAACAATAACCTGGCATGCATCAATCAATGCATCTCCAGGAAAACCTAAGAAGTGATTCTCCCACTATACTCGGCATTGGTGAGACCGCAGCTGGAGTACTGCATTCAGTTCTGGGCGCTGCACTTTAACAAGGACATGGTAAAGTTTGACAGAGTCCAGAGAAGGGCCACCTGTATAATCAGAGACTTGCATGGCAAGCCATACAAGGAAAGGCTAGGGGATCTGGGACTCTTCAGCCTGAAAAAAAGAAGGCTGAGAGGAGACTTGGTAGCAGCTTACTGCTACACCAGAGGCATACATCAAGGGCTCAGTGAACAACTGTTTACCAGGGCACCCTTAGGGAAAACTAGGAATAATTGTCACAAACTCCTGGAAAACCGTGTCAGGCTCAACATTAGGAAAAACTACTTTACAACTAGGGTGTCCAGACTGTGGAATAAACTCCCTCCAGAGATGGTGCAATCACCTACCCTGGAAATCTTCAAGAGACTGGATGGTCACCTGGCTGGCATCACCTGACCCCAGTTGTTTTTCCTGCTTGGTGCAGGGGGCTGGACCCAATGATCTTCTGAGGTCCCTTCCAGCCTTATTTTGCCACATTTTCCCATATGAATAGTACACAAGCATCCCCAAAGAAACAAGGGAACTCCTTGCAGGGAAAGATACAGTTCAACAAAAATAAGGGTGGGAGAAATCAGGCACTTACCTATTATTATAATTATTACTGTTGTTACCAGAACTGTTCTAGCTGACTGGCAGCTGACAATCAGGCCTTGTGGGTCCGTCTTCATTATCAGGTGACAGAATCAGCATTTTGTTTAATGGAAGGTGTTTACTTGCAAGATGTACAGCAGTCCTATTTTCCTGAACAGTGGTAAGGACAAGCTGGATGAAGAGCAGCCTAAGAAAACATTGCTCTTCCATAATTTTGAACTTCTGCTCCCCAGAGACAAAGTGCCAAACACAGCCCAGGGACCAAAACAAAACTCCATCTACTGACAGCACAACACACAACTCTGTTCCACCCTTGAGTCTGACACAAGAAATCCTTCATTGGCTCATGATCGGCTGCATAGCTTCAGGAGTAAGCCCATTTGTTTGAAGCCAGCTGTCCCCCTAGTGGGCCCCTAGTCCATTAATATTTATAATATACATCAAGTCTGTTCAACTGACAACTCACAGGCTGCATCTGGCTCCTAAGCGGTTAAGCTGTGGCCCCAGGCTCCTCTCCACCTGTTCCTCTTCTGCTGTTGCCACAAATCCCTTGGCTCCCTGTCCCTCCTCTAGTTTCAGCTTCCTATGGGGAAGAGTGGTGCAGCCCACAGGGCTGAAGCAACCTGCAGCTGGGGCACTCAGGGCACTTGGGGACCTAGTATGGCATAGCAAAGGGGCACCCACTCACAGCAATATGGTGTGTGCCACCAGGCCATTCAAGATACTAGACAGCCCTGATGCACATAATAAGACAACATAAAGGGGTGCTTCATATTTTTAAGGATTGCACACATCTTATTTGCCCAACTTTTCAGACATGCCCAAATGAAGTGGCCAGATTTTCAAAAATTGATCCATACCCAGCAGCTCTAACACACTGCTTAAATAAATAGGTAGGTTCTCAATCCACCTGGTTAAGATGCACAAGTATTAATAATTTCATTTTTTAAATGGGAAAAGGGGAATAAGATTTAAGTGATTAGCCCCAATCTCATAAAAGTGAGGCAATAGCGGAGCCGAGTTTAGATTTCAGGAGTCTCTGGTTAGTGGTTGCATGTTTACCTCCATATTTATGAAACCATTTGAATGTATCTTCCTGTACTGTGATGATTCAGTTACATATTCTGGGATTCATTATGTATAATAGACCTATAAAAGATTTTTAAAAATGGGTGCAGATGCTGTTATGAAATCATCTTCCACTCAGAATACCTCCCCCAAGTTCCAGGTAATTGTTTCAGGTTCAAATTTGCAATAGCCAGGAATACCATTTAATTGTACCATTTATTTTTCATGTATACTTTAGATGCATTTCTGGTCAAAACTCTGGAAAAGCAAAACCCACATCAAAGAAAATTAAACTCTTATTTCCTTCTGCAGTAAAGGATACATTCCCACAAATTACCAGCTTAGAGGTCATTGCAATTGTTTCCAGACACTAAGACAAGCCACAGCAAGGAGTTATGGGTGCCTATCACTTTTCTCTCTCTAGGGTGTGGTTTCAGCCCATTGGATTTACACAGTGGTCATATCACTGACATATCCACTAGACTTTGTTCTTCTGGCGACTTGGATGAGTATGTGGTGTGCAACAGGATGTGGGATTAATTTATATGGGGTTCTGTAGGCACCTGACCCATGACTCGCATTGTATATGCTACTTTGGACATGCTATAGGTAAATAGCAGGCCTCAAATCTGGCAAATAAATTTAGTAGGTACAATCCATAGAATCAAGTTCACAGTAACTTGCATCTGTGTAGTTCTATAATAGGCTCAAGCAGAGGTGGAACAGCTAGATCTGCAGGAGCTGGGTCAACAGTGATGGTGATGGCTGCCACTCTTAGAATGTGGTCACTCACCCAGTCACCTGCTACTTATTACACTACTGAACTAAATATAGTATTTCACGTAGTATCATATGCTTGCTTCCCTTTGACACAGATTCAAAACACAGCCTCCATTGACAATTCACTATTTGCATCAAAAAACATTTGCCTATAACATTTTACCACCACATTTGTTAACTATCTTCACTTTGAACACAGGCACAGGCATTAGCTTATCTACTAATGTCCTACTCAAAAACTATTTAATTTGACTACTTGATCATAAGAAACTTAGAGTTGTTATGGAAACACTGAAGGAGGAAAAAAAATGAAGTTGAATTTCCTACCAAACTTGGTCTAAAATGAAAAGCATTCATATCTTACCTTCCATCAGCTTTTAACTCCACTAACCACATGGCAAAAAACTAGCAATACAATTTAAAGATGACTGTGCAGTGCAAGCTTAGCAGCAACAAAAACAAAAGGGAAAATTAGACTAGATTAAAAGGTATGTTCGTTTCTCTCAGTTTCTTGTCTATGGAAATTACTTTAACTTACAACAAATGAAAGTCATTCTGCCCATCTGAAAGCCAAAACTAATTCAGTTTGGGGTCAATGCTCCAATCTGATCCAGCTGCTTTGTTCCTCTGACAGCTTAGCTTGTTGCAGAGTTGTGTCTGTAATAATGAGGCACCGTTGTTCTCTCACATGACTCCCAAAAGCTCTAAGGCATGGGACATTAACAGGAAAAGGCAACTGGTCAGAGCAGCATTGGTTTCTTTTTGCCAGATTAGCCCAAGAGACTTCCCTAATATACAGTACAGACCCTCCCTTCCTGCTGCTCAGTCAGCCACCAAACTAGGGGAACTTGCAAGTGGCTGATAGTTGCTTTTCCTTACTTATCCAGCTTTACAAGTGGGGATCAGTTAGGCTAGAGAATCTAGCCCAGGATGTTCAGTGGTCTGCCTATAAACACAAAGGGTGTGTCCACACATGCAAGCAGCTGCACTTACAGCAGCTCAAATAGAAGCAGTGCAAATTTCAGCTGGGGCTTTTTGCCTCAGTGCACGTGCCCGGACATGCACTTTGGTGTGAGGTAAATTCTGCCACTTGGGGCAAGATAACCCTGCCTGGCTCCTCCCAGATCTGCAGCCAGGGGGAGCTAGAGCCCAGGCCTAGCACCTGTGCTGGTCCCAGCAGTATAAAAAGTTGCCCTGGCAACTAGCTCAGGGCTACTTGCTCTCAGGAGCTTCTGGGGACCGGCCAATAGGTTTCTGGGGACACTACCCCTTGTGCCAGTTGGACTGCTGAAGCAGTCCTAAGAGTTCCCTGCACCCTCTACCCACTGCAGCAGTCTGGCAGTGGGAGCTGCTGCCTAGCTGTGACCTGCTCCCACCTGTAACAGCATGTGGCCCCAAGGCTGCACACCTGCCAGATCTGGGTGGAGACTGCACAGCCAGTAGAGGCACCTGCCCTTCTGGACCAGCTGCCAGGGGGTTGTGGCTGCACAGTTGCCCTTGTGCAGCACTACTGCCATATGTGCCCTGGCCTGGCATTGTGGACAGCTATCACCCGGAAGATGTTCCCATGTAGTGACCTGCTTTCAATTGACAAAGCATGACCTCCTGGCCCCAAGTGGCCAGGAGGTCAGTCACTTCCAGCTGGGTCCCAGGTGCCAGCCCTGAGCAGGCTCTTCTGCTTGGGTCCGGCCACTTGCCTCCCTAGCAGGAATTCTGGTGTTCCCTATTTAAAGCCTGCAAAATCTCTGTAAAAAAAATCCCAAATTCACTCTTTAAAATACTGCAAAATCCATGTTTCTCCACAATTAAAACAAAAGACCACCACACACACACACACACACACACACACACAGAGAGAGAGAGAGAGAGAGAGAGAGAGAGAGAGATCAGTTCGGCAATGTTTTATTGATATTTACAATTGTAAAGCAACTTGGAAGCTTACCAGTACCTCCATCATCATAATAAAATAAATTCTAATTATCTATACAGTTTGGCATTGACTTTGGGCTTCTCTGCAAGTCATAAAACAATCAGAGCTGCCCCTACCCCTTTCACTCACCAGGATGTGCAGCATTGAGCAGCAGTGATACGCCACTGCTCTGCCTCTGCCCTTGACCCTCACTCTCAACCCACAACTCACCCTCTTCCCTATTCCCCTCACTCCTGCCACACAGGGCCAGGAATGTAGGTGAGGGGTTTTTGGGGGTGTCTTGGGTGTGTGGGGTTTGTGGGTGGATTGTGGAGGGGAGTGTGGGTGTGGAGGGGGCTATGAGGGGGTGCTGCTCAGGAGGCATGGGTCCCCTGTCCCCTGCAGGGTGTAGCCCTCCTGCACACCTCATGGACTGCCACCCCACAGGGGTCACAGCAACTGGGACCTGGGCTTTGTGCCAGATGAGTAGGGGGTGGGGGGAGCTGGAAGAGCAGGGGGAACTACTGAAGGTAGGGGACCAAGGAGGGCAGCTCAGAAGTGGTGGGCCTGCTAGCCACCCCCCTGTATGGCTCCAGCCCCCTGGCTTGCCCCACAGCCAGGTGCAGCTCCCTGCTTGCCTCCCTGCTCAGCTACAGCCCCTCCCCACCCCTGCCTGTGGCTAGTTGTAGCCTGTTTGCTTACACGGCAGCCAGCTTCAGCTCCCCTGCACACTCCCTGCCCAGCTGCAGCCCCCTCGCTCACTCCCCACCTGGCCCCAAACCCCCCTCCCCACAGCTTACCAGCAACAACATCCATGCTCTTGGCTTCATGGCACAGCCCCCCTGCATGGCAGGGGCAGCATGGCTTGGTCCCAGCAACCAGGTGTCCACGCAGCCTCTGCCACAGCATGCTGCTGTGTCCAAGTGTGACATGGGACCCTGTGCTTTTGGGGAGCTCTGGGCTGTTATCTGGGGCTATGCACCCCTTGTGGGAACCACCAGACACACTGGCCCGGGTTCTGTATGCATGAGCCCTGTGCTGTCCAGCTGGGCAATACCTGTGCATGCAGGACCTGAACCAACATGGCCAGCAGTCCCCATGAGTGACACGCAGCCCCGGATGACAGCCTGGACCTGCCCAAAAGTGCACAGCTCTGCACTGTGCCAGGCTGCAGTAGTGCACTGTGGCATACCTGGGAGTGGATTCCTGGAAGCTGGGGCTGAATTGTACTGCCCTCCGCCGTGCAGAGGTGCTGTGCCATGAGGCCAAGAGTGAGGTTGCTATGGCTGGTAAGCTGTGTGTGTGGGGGGGGGGGGGTGG